TTTTTTTTAAATCTATTTTGTATGTATTATTTTTTACTTCAAATATTACTGTAAGATGATAAGTATTTTGAGAAAAAGCACATTTTACTACTGCAAAAATCTTAAGCTTTTACGATATGAAAGATCTTTCAATTTTGCTTTTAATAATCATTATCTTAAAGTGATTTATTTTATCTTAATATTAAATACAATTTTAAATAATTAGGCGCTACTTTTTACCCAAATACACTCTTTTTTAAAAATACTAATTTCAATAAACAAATATTGAAATAAGAAAACTTTTAACTTTAAATTTTAGATTTAATAATTTAATCACATGAAAGTCAATGGTAATTATTTGTCCTATTCTACCTTATAATACTGCTAATTAAAATACTTAAAGTATTGCTTGTTACTATTTTTACTTGTACTTTTTCGGTGAAATGTCCATCGGCCAAATGTCCTTTGGGCCAAATGTCTCTCAGCCAAGTGCCCATCAGCCATATGTATGGTCATGATAACATTTAACCATTTCTTAATATTTGCTTTTTTCCTTCTTTTTCCAAGATTGTTTTTACTTCATCTTTAGTCTTTCTTCTTCATTTCAATCAGTGATTTTTCTTCATTTTTTTTCTTATGTTTTCTTTGTTTGCATCAGTCTTTCATAATTGCTTCTTGATGCTTCATTCCCATTACTTTCTTTCAGTCTTTCTTCACTTCTTTGTTCAGGATGTGGATGACCATGGCTCTCCACAACTTCCAGTTCAAACCCAAGTTACTATCCCTTCTAGTCCTATTTCTGCCATTCATTTACACAAGCTCATTGCTCATCATTTCTCTCTGTCCTCCTTTCAGTATGTCCTGTGTGTGTCAAATTTTACAGGTCTCATTTCCTCATTGTTTCCCAGAAATTTCAACTCTCTCTTTCTGATAGTAAAGATAAGTGTCATTTTGTTGGCATTTCCCTTACAAATTTTTCATGGTTCATGCATTCATTTCATGGTATTCTCAACAACCTTCTGTAGAACCACATCTCTGTTGATTCAAGTCTCATATTCATCTGTGGGGAAATGGTCCATCATTTACCGCCATGTCAGAGGCTGGCGATTACTTAGCAGTTCAACACATTTTCTTATTAACAAATCATCCTTTCTCTTAACACTTTGGTTAGTCTCTTTTGCTTATCCAATGTATCTGTATACCAGTATTAACATTGTGAAATGCAAAAAGATTTCAAATTCTATGAAGTGTCAGAAATATTCTATTAAAATCCTAGCTTAGGACTTGACAGTATTTACTTTATAAAAATTGACAGTGAGATAATATTTCCCAATAAGAATTAACGAACATGTTCAGCACACCTTTGCTTATTACTAATGCAATTTTCCTGTCACTTAGTACTTTCTTTTTACTCTTGGAGGCATTCCTCGGTAATCCAATGCTACTTGATTCTATTAGTACCATTCTAAAATCTGAAAATATTCCAAATCCAAAGAAGTGTCAGAAACACAGTATGGTGTAAAAGTCTTAGCCAATTTTAAACTATTGTAAATCTATATAATAAATGCAAATGTCAGTGTGTCACTGTGTCACACTTTTCAATTAAGGGGACACAAATCTCTTACTTTCAATAGCTCATATTCCAATAACTTTGGATTCCCAAGTTTTCATTACAGCGATTATTTTCGGCAATTTTTTTTACCTGATTTTTTGCGAGAAAGTTTTTGTACAATAACAATTTTATTACTTGGAAATAAATTTGAGAATAATCAAAATTAATTGCAAAATCCAGCAAAAATCACACATGAAATAAAAATACTTTTTTCTACAGAAAGTAAGGACCTACGTACATCAAGTTGTCTTTAAATTAAGTGGTGGCAGAAGAATTATCATTGAACTTTTAAAAGGTAAGTTTAAATACTAATGTAATACTTAATTGCAGTGATCAATTTTGTGTTCTCCTGTAGTTTACTTCTCCCTACCTATCTAATTAAAGTGTCCTTTTTGTTTAAATCTTCCTTTAAACCTATTTCTTATTTTCTGTCAGTGGTATTCTCAGTATCTTTCTGTAGAACCACATCTCTGTCACTTTAAATTTTCTTTGATCATCCAATGTGTCTTGATGCTAGTACTGTGAAATGCAAAAATATTTCAGATTTCATTAAAGTGTCGGAAATATTCTATTAAAATCCTAGCAGTATGCCTTGTAAAAAGAAATCTCTACTAACAGAGGACAAGATAGCAAGCAAAAGAGCTAAGACTGCATTGAAGAAAAGAAAGTCTTGTGCAAATGAAAACCCAGATCAAACGGCAACCAGGAGAGCCTCCATTGCTGAGAATATGAAAAAGACTTAAGGACTCTCAAATTCCTGAACAAGTTGAAGGCCCAATCAAGCACCCTCTGCAGGAGCTAGCTTAAATAATGCCCAAGAGGGTGGCTTTTAAGCTAGTTTCTAATAATTGCAATTTTGCAAGTTGATGTTTTTATTGTATTGTCTACAGATTAAATTTTGTTAATATTAGAGTCATTTTCACACCTAATTATCACATCTTTTTGCAAGGGTTCTGAGAGTGTGTGGAAGATGTGAGACAATACTGTATTTTTTTAAAATCATAGCTTTAAACATGACAGTTATCTGACTTATGAAACTTGATGGTATATTGTTCATTACTTTCCCAATGAGAACCAACCAACATGGGAAATGCAAAAATATTCCAGATTTCATTAAAGTGTTGGAAATATTCTATTAAAATTCTAGCTTTGGACTTTACAATATATCTCCTTTATAAAATTTGACAGTGAGATAATATTTCGCAATGAGAATAAATAATAGTTACTTTATAAGTCCCAAAAATTCATACACTGATGTTTTCATGAATACCCGACCCAGTGGATAAAAGCATTGATTAGATCCATTGACTTGTTCCAAAGAATTGTGAATTCAATACAAAGCAAAAACTTAGAGAGTTGAGTTAAAGGAAGATAACTGAGACATCTGGTAGAGGACTGGCATGTGGAACTAGAACAATCTAGAAATAAATGGTTCAGTTCAAAACTGAAATCAACTGAAGAAGGCTGGAGCAATGGCCAAAATGTTGTGAATATGGCAACAATAATGAGGACAACAGTCTGAACAATGTAAATAGGATATTGAATTCTATTAAAATCACAACTTTAAACCCAATAGTATATCTACTTTATAAAACTTGACAGTATACCATTCATTTTCCAATGAGAACCAACCAACATGTTGACAAGTAGAAGAGGTAAATAATTATAATTAATAATTATAATTAGTAATTATAATTAAAAGAAATGAATTTAATTATTCTTGTTACTATTAACAAGCAAATCAGCATTTAATGAATCAGCACAAAAAACACTTTTCAAGATTTCAATGTTGCAAGCCAGCAACAAGTGATAAAGTACTTAAAACAAAATGGATTTTCACATCGGTTTTAATTAAGTATTCTAATGTTAAGAAGCTTAAAATTAATTACCAAAGAAGGAAAAAAGTCATTAGGAAAAGGGCTTGTTTTTATTCTTTCATATAAATTATACATAACATCACTTTCTTGATTTTTAAAACACAGAGCCTTTATATTTTGACGTACACACTTATACATACAGTCCTCTGAATATATTTTTATACATACAAATACAAGAGAATGGAGGTACATGATAAATATATATACATACATAGATACGTATACAAGATATATATGTAAACATATACATACACAAATACGCACATATCTGTATATATTTTACTTAATATTTTAAATACAAATATTAGAGAATCGATGCATACACACACAGATATATGTATGTACATACATACATATGTATATAAATATATTATATGTGTGTGTGAAAATATATATATATATATATATATATATATATATATATATATATGTCTATATGAGGGAAGATCAGTTAGTTTGTAGCCTGACATGGCTATTAGATAAATTTTGATCTCAAATGTTTTTGCTATATAATGTTTGATTTGTGTTATCAGTATTCACCACATAATTACGTGCATTGCCAAGGAAGAAGATTATTTTGCAAAATAAATATTTTGCAAAGAAAATGCTTTTTTTTCAACATTAGGCTACAGACTTCTTGATGTAGCTTTGCACACAAATAAATAAATATAAACGTATATATGTGCACAAATATATGCATATATGCACATATAGCTATACAAGTATATAAATGTATTTGTATATATATATATATATATATATATATATATATATGTCAAATCAGTAGAACTTTATAAAGTACATTATCTTAAGTTAAAACAGCTCCAAAACCAATATTTAATCAAACAGAGTGAAGTGTTTTGCATTTTTAGTTCATTGCCGTTTTATTTATTCATTTATTATGGATATTTGTTTTGTTTTTCCTTTTCCGGCTACCGTCTTCCAAAACTTATCAACTAGACTTACTATTAATCACTATTTCTTTTTTTCTCTTTGGAATTGTTTCGAACTCAGAAAAGATAATTCACTCTATTTTTGGTGCGGCCTCTGGAATTACAATTAACATTTCAGATACAATTTCACTTGTATCTTTTATCTTTTTACAAAAAAAGACATAAAAATTTAATGTTGTCTGCATCTTCTATTGAATTGTGTTAAAACATTGAAAAGGGTTACCATTATTAAATGGTTAAAATACTTAATTATTATTAATTATTGACTAATATTATAATTTTAATTGCTCCTTAGTGTATATGTTTTTATTTGTTTTTTACAGCTTATCAACTTTTTGACATATTATTTAAAACCAGAAAATATTTTTAAATACTAAGATTTCTTTTTTCTTTTTCTTTTTTTTTTTTGATATAATAATGATTTACTGATTAATCCATAGCTGGGGGAAGATGTGTATTCGTACTTTTCCTAAGAGTATTTGCATGTAAGTGTATACAATGGACCTGACTAGAATTTCAACTCAGCTTTCCGATTTCCAATTCCAAGCCATTATCCATTACACCACCTGTGAATCCCAGCTTACAACACTTGATATTCCCTAGTGGTCACCCATCTAGGTACTGATCAGGCTCAACACTGCTTAACTTCAGTGATCTCATGAGAATGGCGTTTCAATGTGAAATGGGCGTAAAGCAATATTATAGTATAATTTTATTTACTTGTTAGCTAGCGTATACATTACATCATGCTTGTCTCTTGCTCTGAATCATGTTTAACATTAATAGGGTTGCCATGATGAAATGGTTAAAATACTTAATTATATTAAAATTTGGCTTGTTCCTTCTTTTTTTTTATGTGCTATGTCCCCTTAGGACATAGGTGATCATGGTTCTCCACAACTACCTGTCCCTTGTAGCTCTTAATAAACTTTTCTTTCTGTAATTTCTTTAGCTCACAAGTATATTGTGCATTGCTTTCCTCTGACCCTGTTGCCTTCAATCTGTCCTGTGAGTATCAGATTTTTCAAGCCCTCTTTCCTCATTATACGCACCTAAAGCTCAAATGCCTCTTCTTGATGTTACGTATTAGTTTTGTTTTTGTTTACATTTTCTTCAAAACTTCATCTTTACTCACATGTTCAGTTCACAGTATCCTCAGCATCCTTCTGCAGAACCACATTTCTGTTACTTCAAGTCTCCTCTTCATCTTTGAAGAGACTATTCAGTACTCACTGCTATACAGGAGAATTTCTTTGTTTCTAGAAAAATTTTCCTATTTCTTAGTACTCTGCTTAACTTTTGGAATTCTTCCTTGGCTATCCAAATGTGCATTCAGATTTCCATATCGTTCTTTCCATCCTCTGCTAAGGGCTTTCCAGATATTTAAATTTTGACACTTGTTTTATTTTCTTATCTCTGATTTGCAATTTGCACTTTGCTTGCAACCATGCATTCTGTCTCCTTACAATGGATGTTTAATCCTTTCTTCTTGCCTCAGCTTTCTGGGCACAACCTCAGAAGATCTGAGCCAAATACACTGCCACTAAAAAATAATAGTCTGAAACTATTAATCTTTTCTCTTCATTTTCCTTCATTATCGTCTGTAGAAGATTTTGTTGCTTTCTTTCTGTGTCTGCTATCAACATTGCGGCATCTGAATATTTATCAGTACAAAAATAAAAACAGAATTAAAAGTGATGAAAAAGAAAACCCACAACTACTTCTTGATGTGCTTTCATGATATAGACGATCATAGCTCTTCACAACTTCCTATCCATTGTAGCTTTTAATAAATTTTGTCTCTTTTTATTGCTTCTAAATCTTGTTCTGCCATCAAACTCACTAAGTATATAATGTGCTGTTTTCCTCTATCTCTCTTGCCTTGTCCTGTGAGTATCAGATTTTCTAAGCCCTCTTTCCTCATTATGTGCCCTAGAAACCTTGACTGTCTCTTTAAATTTCTTTTTAGTTTCTATTTTTTCAAAACCTTTGTCAATGCTCACATGTTCAATCCTTGGCATCCTCAGCATCCTTCTCTAAAACCACAGTTTTGTTTCTTCAAGTCTCTTCTTCATCTTTGAGCAAATTGCCTTGAACTCACTGCCATACAGGAGTACAGATATCATGTAACAGTTTAGTATTCTTTTCCTTGTTTCTAGCAAAGCTTTTCTATTTTTTAGTAGTCTGCTTAGCTTTTGGAAAGCATCTTTGAAAATTCCAATATGCCTTTGGATTTCAGTGTCACAGACTCTGTCTTCTGTTAAAAGACTTCTCAGATATTTAAATTTCAACACTTGTTTGATTTTGGTACCTGCAGTTTGCAATTTGCACTTTGTCAACAAACATGGATTCTGTCTTCTTACAATGGATGTTTAACCCGTTCTTCTCGCTTTTTTTCCTACCTTCTGTAGAAGATTTTGTAGTTTTCTTTCTGTGTCTGCTATCAACACTGTGTCATCTGCATACCTTATGTTGTTAAGATTGTGACCACTATTAATAAATCCTGGTGGGACTTCTAGTTCTCAGAATTGCCTCTTAGTTAGCGTATATGTCGTACTCTGTAAAATCTTGCCTGTCCATTGCCTACCAATCCCTAATATAGACTCAGTGGAGAGAGTAAATCTCTAGCTCCTGGGCTATGTTAAAACTGTATGTATGTGTTTTTAAAAGGGAAAAAGAAAGAAAGGGAAGATGGAAGAAGTGATAATGCTTTCACACGTTTAACATCTGCTTGTGTGAAAGGGTACCATAATATTAAATATTCCAGCCTGGAATGATTAGCTTTAGTCATAAAAATTAGTAAAAATTGTAGAATTTCCACAGGTCTACTTCTACATCATAAGATATACCTATTAGTATTCTTATATATATATATATATATATATATATATATATATATATATATATATATAAGAGAATACAGCATCCCCCTGAAAATGTACTCACTTTTCTGACTTCATCATCAGTTTGAATATTTATAAATATGCATTTCACTTGATTTAATATTTAATTTAAACCCCTAATTAAGTAATTAATAAATAATATAAATTATTAATTAATTTATAAATTAATAATTTAATTAAACCCCTAATCTTCTTTGTAACTTAATAAAAATTAATTTTCACCATTAACCCTTTGAATCCTGACCCCTGCTTTACTTGGTGGTAGAGAAAAATGATGTAATGCCCAGCCACCAGTTGAATGGTGGGTAAACATTTGTAACTCTTTTTATATCTACTGTGAAACATTACATATGAATCGTTTGTGAATTTTGACTCAGGAGCTCAAACAGAAGGATTAAAATTGTTCAGGAACGCAGGGTTCAAAGGGTTAATCCTGTTTGCAAGTTATAAATATATATAAGTTAAGTAAAATGTTTCAAGTGTTTTATCAGTAGTAAAATGCTGAATTTGCATATGCACTTCAAGGTCATTGTTCTATAAGTCTTCATAGGAAAAAATACTACAAAATTTCTGTGAATTTCTAATTGATTCTCTTAATAATTAAAAATATTATTTCTAACCCATTCAGTAAATTTGAGTTAATTGAAAGTCGGCAATGTAAATGGCTTTCTGAGTTGAATTCACTTAATGCGGAAACAAAAATACATTTTGTCAAAAAGAATAATGTAAATATTGATCAGGCAGAGTTCAAAAATATATTAACATTTCAATGTTTGAACACATAATCATCCTGCAACTTCTATTGATTATGGGAATAAATATTGAAAATTAAAAAAAAAGAAATCTCACTTGTTTGTTAATCTGATATTGATTACTTTGAAAGCATGTGTTTTACAATTAGTATTCTTATATATATATATATATATATATATATATATATATATATATATATATATATATATATCTCCCCAAAAATTTACTCACTTTTTTCAGTTCATCATCAGTTTGAATATTTATAAATATGCATTTAATTTAATTTAATATTTAATTTAAACCCTTAATCTTCTTTGTAACTTAATAAAATTAATTTCTTAATTTTAACCATTTATTTTGTTCTAAGTTATAAACACTGCATTTATTGTCATTTAAAGAGTGAGTACATCTTTGAGAGACACCCTGCATTTATATATATATATATATATATATATATATATATATATATATGTAACTTTGTATTTTAGTAGCAATCATTCTTTTATACAGGTTTCGTTGTAGTTGACTAACAAGGAATATGCCAGAAAAAAGTTAATATAATAAAAATAATCACAGTGCCTTGTCAGTTATCTTCAATGAAATATCCCCTCTCTCTCTCTCTCTCTCTCTCTCTCTATATATATATATATATATATATATATATATATATATATGGTGATTTTCCAAGCATGGCTTAGATGTGGCACAAGACTGAAAGTATGGGGCACCCAATGAGAATTGAACTCACTACTCAGTCATAAATGTTCTAGTACCTCAAAGGTGCCCATATACATATATATAAAAGGAAAACTTACCATGTTTCATCCTCTGATAAACTTTATCAAAGTAAATCTTTCAGAGAATGAAATGCATTGTCTAAGTTTTCGTTTTGTCTTTATTCATATTGTCTTTTTACAGATATATTCATAATTATATCTGAATTTTTACATATATACATATACATATATATATATATATATATATATATATATATATATATATATATATGTATATATGTATTTGGTTGGATAGATGTGAGTTTGTGACCCTGGGTTTCACGCTTTAGCGATCGTCAGACAAACTTTTCACATATGTATATATATATATATATATGTATGCACACACACTCACACAAAAAGCTTTTGTCCCCATCCACTAAAGTCTTGGATGTTGATAAAGACTAACAAAACACTTAAAAGTACCTGATCAAAACTTATACCCCCATATATATATATATATATATATATATATATATATATATATATATAATCATTTCACCCCAACCAAATCAATAAAACCACTAAGTCACAAGGGAGTGACTGAGTTTGAAAGAATAAGAAAAAGAAAAACATTGTTTTCTCTTGTTTTGCCACACATTATATGCAACTTTTAGGTTTCTGGGGGATGAAGATGACAAAGTTTCAATTTCAATATAATTGAACCATTGTGGTTCAAATGAAAAAATAATTGATCCAACAAAAAACATGATATCTCTAAGAGGTTTGGGATTATTGCCAAGAAGAATGGGAAAATATCTCAAAGACCTTGTTCCATTCAATGCCACATTGAATTGTGGCAGTTATTTGAGTGAAAGCAAGCAACACCAGTTACTAACTACATACTTTATAAGTACTTTCTGTACTAATAAAGATCACCTTTTGCAAAAAAAAAAACTTCCTTCTTAACTTAAAAAAAGAGCTGAATTGGGAAATTTTCACTGGTGGGCCAATATATTTGCATGGCCTTTTTCCAACATCATTCTTCTTAAGCTGCTCTATTATCTACCATACATCATTAATAAAAATGCAGTAAATGGTTTTCTGGTCGTCAATAATCATAAAATGTACTGAGAATAGAATACTGCTAATCACCATAGATTTTGAGGTAAAATTAACAAAAATTAAAGTAGTTAATTTGTGAAAGTTTTGAATGCTAGTGTAAAACATTAAACACAATGATATATATATATTTTTTAATTACTTTCATTGACTGAAACTCTTTATGAAACTTAATACTTCCCTTGAGTGGAATCAT